CCTCCGTGTGTCGAAGAAGGTGTTGAGGACCGCTAATCTGTTGTCCGTGGCGAAAGTCAGCAGCAGCTCACCATTTTCGTTCAGCTCATTGCGCCCGTACTCGCCCATGGTTCCTTCGTTTTCCCCTGCTATCCCTCCTCCGGTCTGGGCATTGGCATCCATGAGCACGAAAAGATACTCCTTAGCGGGGATACGACGCACGAGACTGTCAAGTTTTTCCCCGAACATGTGTTTGCTCTAACGTTGCAGCAAATAAATAATTACAAAATACGGTTGGGACGGCGCTCGTGTACGCGTTCTTTTTCGCCATTGTGTCTACTGTACCGTCCTTGCCTTCCTCAAGAACTTGAGGCAAACGGAGAATGAAAAAGTTGTACACATAGACTACACGTCCGCCATGCTGAAAGTCAGTCGTTTACACCAACCTGTGACAGAGTAGTTTTTCTCTCGTCTTTTTCATTTCATCACCACCGCGTTTTTTGTTAAGCAACAGCAGCAGCAGCAGTAGCACTCCTGCTGTATTTACACTACATACAGCTGCTGGACCGCCGTACGACTGCTGTATATATGTACATCATCACAGCAACAGAGTTCGTCAGATGACTGAACTCACCGGTTTTCCACTGCCACGAGCGAACGCGTTGATGATGTTGCCACCTAGAACACCTTGGGGGTGTTCCTCGGTAAAGACGAATAGTTTCCACGAGTTTTTCAATGAGCAGCAAGAAATGGTTCCCAACCTCTGAAAATTTGTACCAACATCCGTTAGGTCACGAGGATCACGAAAATATACTTATTTTCCCATTTGGATGTCGTGGTGATGACTTATTGATGAATTAGTGGCCAAAATTGGGTGAAAATCGCGTCTGCGGGCCCCCCGAGCAAGTTGCAAACGCCTCCGAATCGTATAAATTTTTCAGGTTAGCATAATGTTGTGTTGTACATCAAGAATCCGTCGTCAGAATTTCGATCGGGATCGATGCGGCCGTGATACAGCTACGCACTGATATATATGCGCGAAAGCAGGGACAACCTGGAATTACTAGGAATTACACTGAAATATCCCCCCTCCCGCAACACTTTCTACATGTTGATTCAATCTCTCCTAACTTCGAATTAGGGTAATTTTGGGGTGGGGATCACAAATATATTGTTGGAATGTCCCAGTTTTGATTTGCAATGGACTTTCAGCTGCTCAAAAGCTAACAGTAGCTGAGCAATTATTNGCCGAAATCGGCAACGCGGCGAAAAAAAACAATCAAGGCGATCCGATCACATTTTTTTTTGTTTCTCTTTTTTTAATGCTTTTAATCGTCGTTTTAGACATGTATCCAAAAACGGTTTTGCATTCGAGTTTTTCCTCGCCGCGGGAGAGACAATTCGTCTTTACCGCGGAACACCCCCTTTTTGGGCAGCTCGATCCCTGGCTTGCTTCCCCCGATCTGCGACCTTTCTCTTCCCGGCAGCCGCAGCAGTAGCAGGCGGTAGGTGCGAAGACGGTGCACCTCGCGCGCCGCCCGCATCTTGTGGCGTTAAAAACGACGGACGGGTGCTGCTGGTAATACCCTGGGCCTCTCCACCATTCTGCGTGATCCACTCTTCGTTGAAGACACTCACTCGTCTGCTTCAGCCCCCATGCGTTCTCGATTGCGTCCCATCGCTCCTTCGCAACGGAATTGCCCGCCGTCACATGTGCCTTTATCGTCCCGAAGTGACGGTCAAGAATCAGTCCTCGTTGTTTCAACTTCGAGAGTTTGCCAAGGTCCTTCAACAACTCATGGGATAAGGGGTTGGACAGGGACATGATCACCCTGCACGGCAGGCAACTCGTGGCACGCTGCACCACGTTGCGTGGTAAATTAAAGAATCTCGCTGGCACAGGGGCAGGACCTGCATGTACAGCAGACCCACCTCAAAAAAAAATCTAAAAAGGAATAGTCTAGGTATAGTCTAGGTACCAACTACCAAACCTGGGAAAGACTCCCCCCCCCCTTCCTCCTCCATCTGTGTATGTTCTTCTCTCGCCACCGCCGCGTCATGTATGTTCTTATCTGTAGCGTCAGTCGTACACCTCACTGGAGGTTCTTATTCTTGACAGCAGGTCCGATCTGAGAACGTGTTCATGCCTAGCCCTGTCCTCCATCGGCCGTGTTAATTCGATTTAGATAAAACTTTATTTCTATACTAATTTCAAGTAATTCCACCTTCTTATTTTCCGTCATACAAGCAAAACGGCCGATGGAGTACAGGCCTAGTTCTATGCAAATTTTTAAAAAAATGTTTAGGCTCAAATTACGTTCATATTCTTCAGTGCGGGCCGGTTCTGTACGTGTGTGAGCATCGCCAATGTGTGGGCAATCCATAGATGTGCACGAATTGGGATCAGCACGTCAGCGCGAGTTGAGGCGGAATACCCAACATCACTGCGCGGAGCGAACGCTTCCCGATATGATTCCAGGATTTGTATGTCGAACTTTTCCATAAGCGCGAACACCTGACAGCTGTGGTGTGGGAAGCAATTTGTGTCCGGAGATTTCTCCTGCCCCTCGCTCAAAGTCGTTAAGGTGAGCGTGGCTTAAGAATAATCCGTACTTTTTGTCAAGAGGGCCACGCTTCCGGCGATCTGATTATTGATCCGCCAGCAGAATTTCACACCTGCATTCCCCTCGTCCACACGTGACGGTGAGGATTTGAGACAGTGCCGAAAAAGGGCTTGGATCCCTTAATCGAAATCAGGCATCATCTTCCCGTCGGGGTTGAGGGTCCCACACTCATGACATCATGTGCAACCGTCTGTCTGTCTTCAGCTGAACTGGCCACACAACTCCTTCCTTCAAAAGAGACCAGAACATGCGGCGTAGAATGCCACAACGCGGTATTATTACAATCAAGACTGCTGGTACAGTACCATCCCAATGACCTACTCAAGCTTCTTTGCGGATACACATCCTACCGCACTTTAGCAAAAAGAAAAATTCCGACAAGAATCGTCACGCTCCCGGGACAGGGATCCTGTCAAAAACAAAAAACAAAAATAAAGCGAATCGGGGGCGAACAGACCAAAAGAGCCAAGCCACTATTGCATCGACATCAAGCATGCAAAAGACATCCCAACCAAAGCCTGATCCCACACACACCAAAAAGAACACACCTAGCCATCGTCACACCCACAAGAGCACAACCACAAACCAAACAAATGCATGGCAGGAACTTTCCCTCCTAGCGACCCCTTCTCTCTTTCGCCCGGTCGACATGGGGGTTAGATGGGATAGCAAAAGAGCGAGGGAGCGCGACTACGCCGACGATTCAACCATCCGCTGACGCTCTTCTCTATTGTAACAAGAAGGTCCCCCGGAGTGATAATTCCCACGCTCTGGTCCTTCGCGAGTGGAATCACCCCTATTCGGACTGCGACGCTTTTCGAAACATACCACTAAGTCCCACGCGGATGCCTGACCCGAGGAGGCATAGATAGCCTACTACAACCTTAGTCGACCTGCTCCATCGTCGACTCCTCATCGCCTTCGGCGTCATCGAGGTCGGGGATGTCATCGTCTCCGTCGTCCCCTGCCGCGTCGTCCTCGTCGATCGAGAGACCCAACTTGATCAGCCTGTCCACCGCGCCATCAGCAGATTCCCAAAAAGAGTTGGTTGAGAGCTTGTACTTGACAACAACAAAAAAGGGAAGGCCTGGCCAATTCATGGATGCTCGCTGTGCCAACAATGACAGGGTCAGGGTACGATACATGGTACTCTGCGGGAAGACGATAATGGTCAGTTTATCCCGATCAATCTACAACTCCTCGGCATGATAAGCCACACCTTGTACAAGAGGACGTCCAACTGCGCAACACACAGCAACGTTTCTGACGTTATTTCGCACATCGACAGCCGTCTCCAACTTTGGCAGAGGTAATGGGGGACGGCACTCGCGGAAAAAATGGTACAGCAGCTTCACACGCATACGGTGTACCCACCTGTGGATACGTCCCGCAAATGTGGTTGGCTCGTCGAGGCTGAAGCCAGACGTGAGGAGCGAAGTGTCGTAAAGGAGCCAGATCAAGTCTTTCACCGTCTTGTCGCTCTGGTCCGCAGACGCCTTTGACAGTCAAAACATCAAGAAGAGACCAACAATACAACAAGACGGACCCAGTTACTTCCCCTGGGTGCGCCCACGTCGGTACTACAAAAACGACATGCGACAAGCCAACGACTGCGAGAAGCAAAGATCTAGGAGATCTGCGTGCGGCACGCCGTCAACACGGCGTACAACATTGAACAGTAGTGGCCATCATCACCCACTGTCCATATTGTACTTTTCTTCGGAAGAGACGATAAATCTCGTCAACGACTCAACCATTGCAGAAGAAAGGTTGGGTGTGCGTTGTTCCTGATTCGACATAACACAACGTCAAATCTTGGCACAACGGATTTAAGTTCAGATTTAAGGATACATTCGCAACCACACACGAACCTTCTCCCGCAAGGCGACAACGATCGAGTTGGTAGGGTTGACCTCCATGGTCTTCTTCGAGGTCATGTACGACGACGTCGAAGAGTCGCGGAGGGCCTGCGCCTTCATGATGCGCTCCATGTTGGCCGACCAACCGTACTCCCCGGTTACAAGCACGCAGGGGGAGTCAGCGAGACGGTTGGAGACCACAACCTTGTCCACCTTGTCCACGAGTACCTCCTTCATGAGCTTGCAGAGGCCCTCTGATGCCGCCTTGGCCTGTGATCCATGAATGTTTTTAGCAAGGGTCGGAACGATGGAGGTTCGATCGCATTCATTGCTCACCGCTTACCTTTCGACAAGATCACCTCAAACAACAAGTGTTGGGGAACCATGGCACGCCCACTACAGAATGGAATACACATGTCGCCGAGTCGTACGTCGTTGTCTTGAACGATAGCGCTTGCGCCCTCTTTCCATCCACGTCTTTCTTACCTCCTCGAAGTTTTTGTTGTCCTCGTCCGACTCGTCGATGGTCATCCCCTCCTTGGTCGCGCAGATGAGCTTCTTACCCTCGAACTCCTTGAGCTGCTGCACCGCGTACTCGTCGATCGGGTCCACCATGAACAGGACCTACGGAACCCCAGACAACGATATGATAAACGAGAACGAAACGAACGGTTATGATGTCAGGCACCGTTTCATGGAACACAGACGACGCGAGGTGAATCCACGCTGGCGAATAAGCCCACTTCATGTAAACAGACGACTCACGCTGGCTCAAACAACGAGAGATTCCTCGCACGAATCGTAAGAGCGTTTCCCTTGCAAGAGGCGCTGTACAACCAATCCTACCTCGACGCCCTTCTTTTTGAGCTTCTCGAGGAAGGGGGAGTTTTCCACCGCCATCTTAGACTCTCCCGTCACGTAGTAGATGCCCGCCTGCTTGTCGTCCATCCTGAATCAACAAGGGCAGTAAGAACGGTTAGCACGGGAAGAAGGAAGGTCGTCGAGGGTTGTTGAGTAGGGCCGCGGCCTTCCTACAGTACATTTAAGACACGATCGTGGCGATGCTTCTCGTTCAAGTAACGACAGGAAGCGTACATGACTTTCCTGTCGAAGCGCACAGTACTGTATGTGTGAGAATCTTGCGGAGTACATCTGAGAAACGTCTGGTCCATGGGCACGCGTCTCATGAAGAGCTTGGTTTGTATTGCATACATACACATGTGTATACCTCGCGACGTAGTCGTCGAGGGAGGTCATCTCCTCGCCGCTCTTAGTGGAGTGGTACCGGAGGAGCTTGGCGAGCTTTGCACGGTTGGCGGCGTCCTCGTGGATGCCAAGCTTGAGGTTCTTCGCGAACGCCTCGTAGACCTGAAAAAGAACAGTGAAAAAAAGAGCGGCAAATGAGAGTCCAGACATGTGATTACGAGAAACCAATCGGACATTGAGCCGTCAAAGACGACACGCCATCAAGTACACTAATCCGAAACACGAACACGACAGACCGCTGTCGAACAATCGGAAAATAGGGTTTCGGGACCGAAAATGCGATGTCGCACTGTTCGACGCGTGAAATGTACCGCCTGACACACTTTGATCGTTGAGGCTACGGCCCAACATAGACACACATAAGTACAAGGCAACGCACCTTCTTGTACTTCTCAGCGTCCTCAGCGAGCTCGTTGAAGAGCTCGACCGACTTCTTGACGAGGTTCTTTCGAATCACGCGAAGGATCTTGTTCTGCTGGAGGCTCTCGCGGGAGATGTTGAGGGGCAGGTCCTCCGAGTCAACGACACCCTTCACGAACTGCAGGTACTCGGGCATTAGGTCCTCGCAGTTATCCATGATGAACACCCTCCGCACGTACCTGCGATATAGCAGGTGATAAAACAGCAGCGGTTAGTTATCTTATACCATCTCGTCAACGATATCAGCAAAAAAGGCTAGCGTGGTGGACGGCTACCGGCGCTTGCCTTGCCCACTCTATGTACAGCGGCGCAAAACAGCGCCTCCAAAAACGCGACATGTCACGTTCGTCCGATCACCACCAAATCTCCGACGTGCATTCAAGTATGCGGCCGCTTTCCCATCCTGCGGAAGGAACGATACTCTACTATAGAAACAGACTCATCCGGCCTTTCCAAGCAATGCGCCATTACATCAACAAATACGCTCCACACCCTCCACTCTTTCACCTTAACATGCAAACGAAATCGACCAGCAACAACTCACAGCTTGATGTTGTTGTGCTTTTTCTTCGTTCCGCCCTCGAACATGTCGAACGGAGCGCGCTTGGGCACGAACAGGACAGATCGGAACTCAAGCTGCCCCTCGACGGAGAAGTGCTTCACCGCCGCGTGGTCCTCCCAGTCGTTGCTGAGCGACTTGTAGAACGCCGCATAGTCGTCGTGGGTGACCTCCTCGGACTTGCGCATCCAGATGGGCTTCTGCTGGTTCAGGTGCTCCCACTCGTGAGAAACCTCCTTGATCTTCTTCGTCTTCTTCTCCTTGCCCTCCGATTCGTCCACGTCCTCCACCTGTAGAAGAGAGCGACATTCGTACAAAACACCGACATTAAAAGAGGAACAACTTACGCCTCAGTCATACGCAAAGGTAAAGATTTGGGGTCACGGGCAGGGGTTTCATCTTGCCGAAAGGGTGGCATTAAATCAACGTGGGATGCTTCTCAAACGAAATGAAACTATGGGCAAAAAAAAAAACGGGTCAACACACCAAGGCGTTCAATTTCGGTAGCAAAAAAAACAAGCACAGTGGCTTCCCGTCACACGTTCGTACAACGAAGCGACACTACAAGTGGCCGCATATCAATCGCGTGATTCCACCATCGATGCAGAGTTATAGAATGACGGAAAGGCACCTCATGTACACACGGTCGAATATCATTCTAGAAACGGCTCACACAATGCTCCCTCACGAGAAGTAATTGCTGATTGTCATGTTCGTTGCTCGATCAGAGTTAACCGGACACCCTCTGGCTTGGTGGGGCCGGCTCTTTCGGGTTCAAGACATGGTCGGTCATGTTTGGGGAAAGAAGACTTTCTCGTCACTTCGAGCCAATGAACAAAAAAAGATACAATCCCAAATGTATATTCTTCAGTATCTGGGGGACTCCAAACGAAGATAGGGGCGGACACAAGAGAGTGCCCAGTCAGGCACTATGCATCTGACTGCTTTTTCATCGAATTTTTGACAACAAACAAATGAAGTCGAAACTTAGTGGTGACCATCTTTTTATCAACTGTGGATAGTTTTCTTGTCTCTCTTTAGATCTAGCATCCCAACGAAACTAAAACTGTTCATTGGAGGTGCGCAACTCGCTCGCGCCTAAAAGCCACATACCTTCGGCTCCTTGTCCTCGTCCTCATCGTCCGCCTCATCCTCGTCCTCGTCATCGGTAACCTCCTTGTCGGTGGTCTTCTCCGTGTAGAGCTTGATCGGGAACCCGATGAACTCAGAGTGCTTCTTGACGAGGTCTTTGATCTTCCTTTCCTCAAGGAACTCGGCCATGTCCTCCTTCAGGACAAGCTCGATGCGGGTTCCGCGGCCGAGTGGCTTGGCGTCCGGTCCGTCCTGATAGAGGGTGAAGTTGTGACAGCATTTTATTTCGCGAAGTAAGAGGAACCAGGATGTCAGAAGATGCAGAGAGTGCAAGCGTCTCGAGTCCCGTTCTACCGAAATTTCTGTTTTTGAAAGGGGACAAAGCCTTGTTTGCATATAATCGAGAACATTAGATTCATGGAGAACCGACCATCATAAGCACGGTGCCGTTCCTTGGGTATCGATGCATAGATTTTCTACCGGGAATTTCATTGGACAAGGATGGCTAGGGAAAAGGAGACGGTGCTCCTGGCTATACACTCAACGCCAAAGGGAAAACATCAGCTGAACATGGTAACAGTGCATTTACTTCACTGGCTGTCCGGGAAAACACGGTGGCTGGTGCTAGAAACAACATGAGAAGCCACTCTTCACGAGAACGCGTTTAGACAATTCTTTGCCATCTTGAATACAGGGAGGGATTTATGTCGAGCCCAAGCACGTGCACTTTATTAAGTGATTTTTCATATATTTCTCTTGAACAAGGCACAGGGCTGGCAACGGACAGTCGAGCCATGCACACTTGTTCAGTGATCGGCTCTGCTTCATCTCTTGAAGCTACACATGCGCAACGGCAACATGGTCAAGAAGGAACTTGCAACAAAAGACACACGCCCACGTCCATTGGTCCTAATTAGAATCATTGCGTCGCCGTTACTGTTCATGGACGTTGGCTCTTGAGAGGTGCACGGCAACATGGTTCGGGACAGAGAAACGACAAAAACATATACTCCAATCCATGTCGGACCCAACAAGCAGCGGGAGTGCCGCTGGTGCTGGACCTAACAAGAGAAAGAAACTTTCTTCCAATGACGGATGCAATCGAACTCCTGGCACACAGCAGCAACGGCGAGCTCAAGCAAGGCGACTACACGATGGTAGGCGACAGTTTGGCACGAAACATAAAATAATGGCCCGCGTGTGGAGCCTCCACACGGGGGCCATTGTTTTGTGTGTTGTGCCAAACTTGTCGCCTACCATCGTGTAGGCGCCCTCTCCGCACGCGGGCCAGGAGTTCGTCGATTGCATCCCGCCGCTCATCGGAAGATATATTGTGTGTTTGCCGCTTTTAGGGTTCGACATGGAAATTTCGAAGTACTTCTCAAGCGAACGAACGACAGTGTCGAGCCGATATTTGAAAGCAATCTGGTGTGGAAGTGACATCCGTCGAATCCATTCCCAAACAGCGGTCACCAATCGGCTACAACCTATCCCAGACAGCAGTGGTCAATCCCACGAAAAACTATTTTGCCCGAGACTTTAATTCGAGTGTCGTACCTGGGTAACCGTGAACGAGCCGCCCGCGGAGGATTCCCAGGTGTACTGCTCGTCGTCGTTGCTCTTGGAGGTAACCGTAACCTTGTCAGCAACCAGGTAGGCCGAGTAGAAACCCACTCCGAATTGACCGATCATGCTTCACAACACCCAGCGCACGCAGAAAGTCGTGTTAGAGACGTGCAAAAGCACAATCAACGAAATGTTGAATTCAAACAAGTAACTTGTAGAGGGCTGGCGGGGATATTCCAAGACGGTATGAAGGAACTCGGCTCAACAACATGTCCAACAAGCTGATTGGGAGGACACAAGAGGGGACCACCGTCTTTCTCCGCTTTTAGCTAGAGTAACCGAATATAACAGAAGGAAAAGTGAACCCTCGACCCTCAACCCGCGCAGATTGTCCACGCTGACTGTTCACCTGCCACACGTGAGACTGATCAAGGCGCAAGACACGCATCGTGCTGCTGGCTTGCTGGCGCTACTCGACACTGCAATACTGCAAAACAACCTTAATAGCAAGGAGAGACAGAGAGGATGCAAAGGCAATATACAATGGTTACCTGATGTCGGCTCCGGCGCTGAGGGCCTCCATGAAGGCCTTGGTCCCCGACTTGGCGATCGTACCAAGGTTGTTCACCAGGTCAGCCTTCGTCATGCCGATTCCGGAGTCCTCGATCGTCAACGTGTTGTTCGCCTGCCGTGTACCAGTGGTTCCACAGCCGTCAGCCAATATTTGAGCGCCAGGCCTTCACACAAATCAACTGCTGTAACCTCCGGTGTGTGTGTAGTGTAGTTGGACCGGACAATGACGTCGCAAACTCTTTTGTTTACGCGACACAGAAGTTGTGCATCGGAGGTTGGAGGCCGCGGGAAAATTACACACTCCGACTCCGATTCATTTGAAGGCGTGTCGGGCAAGGGTTGTAGTCGTGCACGGCAGCGTCTGCTGCAGGACAAACGCCGTGCTGCTGTAGATTGGGGAAAGTAAATACATACAGGAAGACTGCCTAGTCTACATTCGATCGTTTTTGTTTTTCGTGGTGTGATGACGTCAAACATATGTTCTCCGGTCGATAACGGGTGACACTCGGTCGGTCAGCCCATCATATCCGTCCGAGTGGCCATGAATGATTCGAATATCGTCCCTTCCCAGAGACGAGCTTACATCCCAGACAGAAAGTAGATGCAAAGAAACACACGCTGCGAACGATGTGTCGGCACTACAGGAGCGGGAGAATCGAAAGCTACCGCTACCAGCCACCGAAATTTACGCGCCACTTTTCGTTTCCGCCGCCACCGCCTTTTTATGTCAGCTGCTGCTGTGCCACAGGCCTGGACGAGATTGGTATAAAAAGAGCACACAACCTTCTTTCCCTTGCGGAACACACACTACACACCTTGTCAGGGATAATACGGATCTCCATACTTGGCTCCGAGTCCAACACCGCCTTGTCCGTGAGGGACTGGTATCGGATCTTGTCGAGGGCATCGCTGGAGTTGGAGATGAGCTCACGGAGGAAGATCTGTCTCAAAAAAGAAGGAAGAGATCGGGCGGAGAGCGGGTGAAAATCTGCACAGCCGGGACCAAGGATACTTTTTTTTAGCTGGGCGGCACATTCAAACACTCGGGTATCTCTAGCCGAACAAACCCTCTTGCAACAGCAAGCTCACCGAGGGGCATGCACTGCAACCCACAGGCGCCACCGAACGCGTGCGTGTCCAGCGAAAGAATTGGCAAGAGAGGGGAACGGCGCCAACCAGCGTAGCATCGGCGCTGCTGCAAGCTTTGTTCTAGAAAAGTCCACGCAAGACCATCTCTCTTGATTTTCTTTTGTTCCCCGCCCAACTCTTCTGCCCGATCCGGACCAAGACCGTCTGCCTGCTACCGAAATCTTCGGTTTCGGCGGCGGACTGACAGGCTTCCAATGGCGAGGCTTCCCGCTGTTGTCTTTCGCGAAAGGCAAGCAGGTCGATGACCTTTTTTCGGAATTCCAGCGGTGGATGAGAGGCAAGAGGATCTCGAAAAAGCGGTCCACCTCATCATCCCCAACACACCGCCGAAAAACCTCAGCCGGTCACCACAAATCAACCAGCAGGGAGATGAGGGAACACTTCCTCGCACAGGGATGCCTCTCCCGCACTTCTATCAAGTATATGCCACCGCTGCTATCCACGGTCCCTAAGGGGTAGGGTTGGTGAGCTCTGTGTACGGCCAGTTTGGTCCGGTCTCAAAACTCACCTCCTTGTTCGAGTAAAAAGTGTTGATAATCAGCGACAAAAGCTGGTTGATGTCGGCCGAGAAAGCGAAGGTCTCTGCCTCGGCTGCTGGGGTAGTTTGTGGCTCGGCCATCGTGCTGTTCTTGAGGTTCGCGCTTCGGTGGTGCTATCGAAAGTTTGGTGTGGATTTGTCGCTTTGTGTGTGTGTGGCTGCCACGAGAGCAACGCGGAGCAATCGCAATAAAAAATGTAAGAGGCGTTTTTGTGTTTTTCCAGAAGACACGGGGATGGGGGTGGGGGCGACTCCCCCCCTGCATGTGGGTCTTTTCGATGCCGGCTTGTTGCGGGCGTTTGTTGGTTGTGTCGCCTTCCTGCTGCCCCCCCTCCTAGAAGTCAGTCGTGTTTTCATGAACTTGACTTAGTCTACCTTCTTTCATTAGTACACCTGCGGTTTTTGTCTTTTCATACAGAAGTAGCCGACAACAACAACGACAACAACATGCCGGCCACAAAGTACATCATGAACAGGGCATCGACGGCTGCGTCTATCTGTACAGCATGTATCAAGCGAACACTATTGATTGTCTGAGTACTACTGCTGTACCGGGAAAAATAGTGAGTACGTGGGATGACAGCGTGAGAAGGACTTACGAGCCTACACTTGTTGCTCCCAGAACATATGCTTGGATGATGATCACCGGACTTCAAACGCTTTAGATCTCGCGCAATCACCACCTTTGAAGTGTCTCTTAACGGGGGCGGGGGTGCTTTCCACCGTATTATCCCGGAAAAGTCAGGAGCCTTATCTTCCCAGCACTTGCAATTTTTTTGTTTGCTTTTGTTTGGGAGGTAGCCTGTGATGTTAGCTATCGCACGATACCTCGACATCAATGATATTCGTCCTAATAGTCAAGAACGAGCTGTTTGAGCGGAGGGTGGCTTAAGTGCTTTAATACATTTACTCTAGACTAACAATAATACAACTCGAACGATACGAGTTCGCTACTTCTATCTAGGTGGTGCCAGCGTCCCAGCACAGAACGCGCCCGCGCCTAAGAATCTCCATCATAGTTTCGGCCGAGGCGGGGGTTGTTACTGTGGTTCCTAAAGCTCATGCTACGAATTGCCACTGTAGGTTTTAGTGTGTAGGGGTTCTTAACCGATATCACAAATGTGACGGTAGAGCGTGTGTCCTAGTTGCTCAGGTTTTTTTATAGATTCGAAGCACTTACTATATTTAGGCCCCGTTTTTCTCAAATCCTCCATTCTCAAACGCGCGCCGTTCTGTCGACCAGGTACCTAGTAGAGGTTCGGCTGACGGCGTGGATCCTATTATCTTTTAACCCGGCCGCACGAGAGTGATGAGTGCGCGTGTCGATGTATGGAGTCCTTCCCGCTCAGGAGCAAGAAAAGATGCCGCGAGGAACATACTTCAGACTTCCATGTACGCCCAATCACGTACGTACACGCGTGCAACATAGTAATATGCGCGTGTGTTGGAGGAACCTCGGAAAAAAAAAAAACTGGTGTTGCTGGGCCAGCTCAATTCCGAGCAGAAAACCTCTCGCTCGACTTTTGTGTCGTGAACACATGTATTAGTAAAGTTCTTCCTCCACACCTGCACATCGCAACATTTGCCAACGTGTCTTGCTGGAGCTTGTCGCTTATACTACATACGTACATATGTAGAAAAATCGCACGCCCCAAAAACAACAAAGAACGAAAGAAATATTTCACAAGGCAGGCCGAAGGGCAAGCAGCAAGTTGGGAATGCTACATACGAACACATCCACACGCACCAACAACCGCCCTTAACCTGCAATCTGTATATTATTTTGAACCGAGGTGCCCGAGGTAACGCAATAACATACGGCTTGGTTTGGCCTTCCGTCCGCAGGAGACTGCCGCCAGAGGTTGCCGTGCCCACAACAAAAACAACAACAGCGGCGGCAGCAGCAGCAGCAGCAGCAGCAGCAGCAGCAGCAGGAATAACAAAGAAAAGTACGCAGGTGCGGTAGATTCCTTTCTTTCCGTGCAGCGCGGCTACACTCTAAACAAAGCACCCACATACCAAACGCTTGCTTGCATATAGAATAAAACACGAAGCACGATACGACGGTTCGTCGGTTCATTATTCTTACCAACCCCGTCCTACCATCGATCAATGACATCTGATCTTCACTCCTTCTGTGTAGGTGAAATTCATGACGGTCTGCCTCCTCTCTTGCGAAGCTCGTCGCCCGTTACCACTAAGTAGGTACAGACAGGCAGCAGTCAGTGCAGATAGGTGTACAGCATAGCCGCCCCCGGCGAAGGAACCTGAATGAAACACTGTTCCACCCTCCAACAATTCAAAATCACCGCCCCATTCGCATGATCGATCATCATCACGCACGCCGGGGGCAAAGGAAACAAGCAAGACAGGGCAAGGACACACCAAAAAAAAAGCTTAGAAACAAACTCTTTTTTGGTTGTTTATGTATTGTTTCTGATCCTGTGTGGTCCGCCATCCAAAATGGAGCTACAATAGCTCACCCAAAAACGAAAGAGACTTTTAACCTAAGGGGCACGTCATTTCCAAATGAAGCGAGGCGCCCATGCCACGGCCACACACCGGTCGCCGAATGGCAACCATCGCGAAGAAGGAAGAACTAAGGGCTACCCCCCCCCACACACGCCGTGATTGATATTCATTCTTGCCATGCAGGTGACTAAACATGTAGTAGTCATGAATGCCACAGAGAGAAAAAGAAAACCACAGACAGCGACAACGACGATAACGACTACGTGCCAGCAGGAGCAGCAGCAGCAGTCACTTCTTATTTACGGTCATGTACGTGCACATATCTCGAGACCGGAGAACAAATGCACGTACCACCGAAGCTACCCTCTCCCTCGCCACACACCAAAGGCTCGCCATCCATTCGGTTCGACAAAGGAGAGATGGGACAGGAATGGTGACAAAGCCAATCCATGGCAACAAGAAATTAAAAAAGGAAACCGTGAGTACGTATGCATGAGAACACCACCACTTTCGGCAAAGTTAAATCATTCACGCTTTTTGTGCTTGCTTGACAGAACTCACCAACATATTAAAAGACGCATCAGCGCAATAGAGACAAAGAAATGTCACGCCTTTCTAGCGTGTTATCTACACCAAGAATGGCAAAGCCGGCCAGTACTTGACAAAAAGAAGGCCACCAACGGCGCAACTCCCTTCCGCTCTTTCTCTCGACTCCGGCACAGGCCCCAAATAAAAAAAAAAAAATGGACACATGCAAGGGATTAGCATCTAGTTATTTTCACACAACAAACTTCTTGCGTCGATTCCCGCTCAACCGCGCGCGCGCCAGATAAACGCACGGTATGGCAGCCCCGAGGCCACGCGGGCGAGAAGATTGGAAAACACAAACTTCAACTCTCATCGCCATCATCATCACCATCGAGAACCACAACACCTCCCTGATACAGCCCAAAGAACACGTTGGGTACATCCATCAATCCATGCATCCATGCATCCATCCACCTACCCCTACTCACGGCGTCCGTCTGAGACTGAATGTACCTACCGCCCGCAGCGATCCGAAAATACCTCCGATTTGGAAGGAGGACTACCAACAGACAGACTGGTGCGTTCGACAACATTCTTCATCCACCTCGCCACGGCGCAAGACCCAAAACAGCACGTACCCCACGCGGAATCTAACCCACCATCTCCAGGAAAAAATGGGACGGAGGATGGGCCATGACCCAACCTACCGCCGCATGATTTTTTTTCTTGCACCTTCCTCCGTTTTCTACGTCCTAGAAGGTCGTGCACCCGAAGCTATCGCTTTCACTACTGCAATCACCGCTGAGACAGTCGTGCATGTGTTTTCGGACAGTCTTTTGTAAAAATACCCGGTCTGGCTTCCAGGGCGTGCACGTACCCCCCCTTCCCCACCCCCCCTCCCTTCCCAGCACACACCCCGCATTTCCATTGTTCTACTGCGCTAGCTAGCTAGCTTATGTTCTACGCTCCCGGGAGAGCTTGTGAAGCGACTACCATCGATATGAACGAAGGTCGTAAGGACATTTCGCCACTCCCCACATGGGATACCACAGGACGCGGCACACAAAAGATTGCGACGCGGAAGTGGCTCCGTAAAGAGGACTACCGGCCTGCCTGCTGGTGCGGCAGACACGAACAAGAGAAGCGCTGGCCACGGTTAGGAACGCGCGCACGCCGGGCTGCTCTGCAGCCTTACACCATCCAAACACCCTTAGCGACGACAACACAAACCAGCGACAAAGACACAACGAGAGTCGGACACACGAGGAGATAATAGGGCGGCACGGCCGACGCCTACAGCAACGCCCGGGGTACACAACTCCGCACTGTCGAACACCCATATTAACCCCCGAGTAACAGAGCAGCAGTCAGCCCGCGGCCGGGCGTGGCTGGCTACCTCTCTCGCATCCCGCAAAACCACACCGCGAACGAATCGCCGCCGGAAAAAATTGGCAGCCAGAGACTGGCTCCCGTGACATCCACCTTCAATAGATGGAGCCACCCCCACCCACCCTTTCTATGAGTCCGAACCGAAGTGTGCCTTAAGGACAAAAAACAATTGAACAAAACAAACGGGACTCCGAGGACACAATCCTTTACACACTGTTTTTTTTGCAAAAAGAACATGGCCGCGAGGACTTGCGATATGTAGGGCTATACTCGCGACAAGGTGCGACCACCTGCCCGAGCGAAGAGGCGCGCCAGCTTGCACCCTTCAAACATCATCTAATAGATTGCTCGCTGCACTCGACGGACTGGCCGAATCAACAGCACCCGCCGCCCCTCCCTTCGTTCAAACTGGCAGACACTCCACATGACCGACTTGTCGCAAGGGGATGGGAAACCTACGCTACTGCAGCAACAAACTGCACGCTGCGACGGTTCTCGCACAAACAAAAGGACTTGAGTACAGACTTGATTCGTCAAGTACAAATTTTAGGTATACTTCGGGGCTCCGTACGGGGGTGAGAGTGTTCGCATCCCCCTCCCACCCTGGGACCCCCCAAAAAATTCAAACAAACGTACAAACACATCCCCCCGCTTTTCCTCACAGCGACCTATCGTTGGAAAGTCACGCGCCCCCTTGCTCTTATTCCTACGGCGCCCTCGGCCTAACGCTACCCCTCCATACAGTACGACGGCACCGCGGTGCCCCTTTCCTTACAGTGCCACATACCACATGTAGATTTCTCGTAATTACGAGGCCGCATTGTGCAGCAGTACCCACTAATACCATCCCTGTAGGATCCCTTCGTGAAGAAGCGTCCAATATTACCACCCCTGGAGGATAGTGGAGGGCCCTCCGTGCTCGCTCTTCAAGGGCATCCATCCCCTCCCGTCCTGCAGCTTGACGAACACCACCTTAGAGTTGTCCAGTGGAGTGAAGCGCTCCGACGCGCGGACGCGCTCCCCCGGACGAACAAAAACTCCCTGAGAGAAGAAAATACATGAAATGGAAGATGGAAGATGAAAGTCACGCGCCGTCGCGTTGAGCTGATTAGTCAAGAGTCAGTCCCGGCGAAGCACGAAAACAGATAAATTGCACGTACGTACGTATTTCTACGGGAAAGGGAGGAAAGAGGGGTGTTTTTTTTTTGTCCAGACAAGTGTACTATTATAGGAGTCCATGTATGCAAATGAGCAGCAACAACAACACCACCAACAACAACAACGACGACGACGACGACAACAACGGCAACGACAGCAACGCGCTCCTCACCGTCGCCTGCGTCTTGAGACCCGGTCCGTGCAGGATAGGCACCATGCCCGACGCCCCGGGAGGGAAGGTGTATTCCTCGCTGCAAACAAAAAAGCACCAGTTGCAAGACAACGACAAAGAAACCCGGCTCAGAAATGGGCATGCGTCGATCACGAGACGTAATTTCGTGCTGGGGGGGTGGGGGGTGGAGGGAAGGAGGGGAGGGCACAGACGAATCAATCATACCTCCCCGATGGATTCTGACGCTATAATAACAAAAGGTAAAGTCAAAAACGCTCCCTGCACGAGGAAGACAGCACCAGCAAGAACAACACTCACGTGTCTTCCGCGACTCCCCCCGCGAGGTCCTCGAACAAAACGCTGCCATCCGCAGGGCTCCTCGCGAACGTCCACCCACGGTCGTTGGCCAACCGCAGGAAGGTCACGTCTTCCGAGCTCAACACCTGTCGTCGTCGTCCATTCGATTCGCATCGTAAACACGATTCGCATCGTCAACACACACGCCAAGCGTCGCCCAAGTGGACACACCATCCCAAAATTTGGCGACAATGGTCGAGTAGGGGGACACGCGATTGGGATATTTGTGTCCCGTGGTCGTTTCACACGTGGCACCCCCGTTGAGACGGGATGAGAACTTCATACCAACAGACGAGTGCTCTTGAAAGACGGTCAGTCCGGCATCAAGGGGGGGGGGGACTCATGGTCGTGCATGCCGTAGTCGTTTGACCATTGACTTCGCATCCCTTCAAAGCCATTTCAAGGG